GTATATTATTTGATCTATCTTATTTTATATGCATTGACCCTCAGAAATAAAATATGTGTCTAAATAGGGGTAGCATATATTTCATGAAATTTAATTTTTATTTGAAGTATAAAAAGTAAATTTAACCACCAAAAAAATATGAAACCAAAATTAATTACTTTAAACATCGACGCTTTCGGGCTTCGGCGGAATCCTTGATTCTTGCGTGTGCACTGCGAAATAAATTAGATACTTATGACTGAACTTAAGTTTTGCTTTGCTAACTGAAATTTTAGATCGATTGCGTCTTTGCAACTACTTAGAAAATCGCCACGGATTGCATAAAAATTTATACTACATCAATAAGATAAAACCATAGATAGATATTATATTACAAATTTTTATATCAAAGATGAGATCCATGTTTGAGATTTGATCATTAAGATAATGAAATGAGATATAACAATAACCAAAATAGTTTATAATTTTCAAATTTAAATTACAGCAATTTATAAAGTACCTATTATTTTAATTTTTAATTTAATAATTGATAAAGGTGGTGTTTAAATATTCGAAGCACTGCAGGCATTTTTTTTATGAGTTAGTTAATACAAATCGTATTGTAAATAAATGTGATTACTACTTATTAGATTTAACATAAATAGGTATTCGGTGCCTTATACATCACATTTACCGTTACCGACTAACCAACTATAATTTGTAAAACTCCAATTTAAATCTTTTCTCTGAATACTGTCGAGCACGAAATTAATAATTAATATTTTACGTATTCATTTTGAGTGCATTGGTTAGGTATATTTTAAGCTATCCGAGAATATTTAAATTTTAAAATTTCCTTATTTAATTTCCGATGGATATTCAATAATCAACAGAGCGACTTCCCCAGCTTTATAAAATAATGTTATGTTTGATGTTCGCCAGCGTCACTTTAATTCGCGGTTCGACCACAAGCCGACGGCAAAGTAATATTCATATATTACTTAACATTTATATAAACTAAAAATGAAAATTGTTGAATTTTGCGGGACATAAAATTACCGTGTACTGTTCTACTGTAATATTACTAGTATGTACAACACTATTTATATCTATTTAATTTTATAAATATATAATTATCCTGCGACCTGGATATGCCATCGTCGTTTGTGATACCGTATTTTTTTGTGTTCCGCGCTCGGGACCAAAAAATACCTATGCCCCTACTTCACCCGGGTAGCAAATCAAATTTTAATTTTGAGACTGAAAAGTAAAATATTTAAGCCCCAAAAGAATAAGTAATCAAACTTACGTATATATCGACTCTTCGGGTAATATATAGCAAGGCGCCATATCTTGAGTGCAGACGCCATATCGAGCAACTTCTTCCTTCATCTAAATCCGAATTGAAAAAATCGAGATTTTTTATAAAAATTACTTGAGTAGAATGAAATAAGTGAGTAAATGTTTATAGTTGCCATACACATTTCTCTTTTGTTCAATGAAATTATTAGAATTGTTAATCGTGTCCGGTGAGTGACGATGATCAGCTTTTGCCATAGATGATAGGTATTATAATTTATATTATAATATAATGTTGTCATCAGTTTTCGAGTTTTTGACTTCTTTGGATTACACGGTACATTTTTTATTTCATATTCCGAAACAGAATATTATTGGGAGTGTTTTAATCTATACAATGCAGAACACGGCACTCTGAGTATAGGCCATTTAGATTTTTAGATGCACTATGACGCTAGTCAATTTTTACGTCCGGCATCTAACAATATTGTTTTTAGTCTTAACGGTTAAACTATAACTTAATATAAAACTCTAGAAGTCTCAAAACTTGAAAACAATTCAAAATTAAACTTTGAAATGTACAGAAGTAATAAAAAAAATGGATACTATACTTTAATCGTGCCTTTAATATTCTCTCTGGGCTCGGCATTAATATGTTATTAAACAATATTATTCTATAATAGTGTACAGTCATCGATGTATTTGCTACAAAATTGTGTGGTCATATTATACTACTACACTAGTGTAATAAATAATATAATATGTATACAGCCGTGTAGGTACCTAACTAAGGCTCTCACATAAAGGTAGGAGACGGGGGAAAAAAATGTATAGCTTCCCTCGTACCTATCTATATTTATTGTTTTATACAGTCAAAACTCTTTATAACGAATCTGAAGGGACCAAGAGATTTCTTTCGTTATAGAGAGTTTTCGTAATAGAGAGGGTTTAAAAAAAAACAAAATTTTAATTATTTATGTATAAAGGTATGTAACCGTGTAATAGGTTACCTATGTAATATTATATATCAAACACATCATCATTTTTACATTATTTTATATATATTTACGTATTATATTAAATTATTATTATTATTATACATACTTATTAAATATAATTTAATTTTTATACTATACATATTTATACCTTATTTAAAATAGTCTGTCATCTTAGTTTGGACTTTTTTATTCGGCATTATTGCTGATTATTTTTATAGTTTATATATGTAATAGATACGATAACACGTAAATTGTATTATGAAACATAAAATATTGTTTCGTTATTGAGAGTGACTAATACGTTATAGAGAATGAATTGTCTAATGGGTTATATAGCAAACCAACCATTATTATGTAATGTTTACGTTACATAGAGTTTTTCGTTGTAAAGAGTTTCGTTCTAGAGAGTTTTGACTGTATTTTAAAAACTTACCCTACAAATGAAGTACTACAAGAATAGTTTATACTTTGCAGAGGTCGCTGTGGGTATTTCTTAAAATACTTAGTATTTTAAAAAAAAATCATGAACATTTTAGGTTTGTTAGTTAGGTACACATGAATTTACTAGACCAATTTGAATTAGTTAATGCCAAAAAAGTTGTTAAATTAAGTACCTAAATAGATAGTAAGTCACATGTGACATCCCACATCGTACATGCTGATATAGTAACACATGATCCAAGTGATATGCATTTCCAATAACATTAAGATGTAACAATTAGTGCTGAATACGGTTAATGCTTTTAATTATATGTTCAACAACAATTATTTGTAATATTTTTTGTTTTAAAGACAGTTTCTAAAACGTACATAAATTGATATCGGTTGTAAATTTTTTCAAACTTATAAGCCATATAACAGTTAAAAATTGCATTTACCTGATAAAATCTGTAGGTATACATTTTATTTTTAAGGTAGTAGCATTGATATTATAATATATTATAAAATCAATGGTAGTAGGTACATTAGTTACACGATATAGACACTAGACACATAAATAATGGATAAATTATTTTAAAAAATGTGATTTTAATTCTGTATTAAAAAAAAAGTTATATAGCTGAAATTGAAAATATAAATATATATATTTTTTAGTTAAGGTTTGTAGTATTATGTTGATGTATGAACTTAAGAATACAATGTTGAGTAGTCAAGATAGGACATGTTTACTTTGATGAACTGATCAGTGAATCATTTGATCATAAGAATCATAAGTCAAATTGTTCATTTGTTTGTGACCCACAAAAAATTAAATCTGTGGAATCATTAATCAAATATTCGATGAGTTGTTTCTTATCATAATTATACAAAATTAAATCAAATCACTTAATTCTAGTTCAAACATAATATAAGTCTTAAGTTAATAAACTAGGTTTGAATACAAAATAATTATTTATAAGAATGGAAATATCCATTATCCAAGTAGTCACTATTTCCATTATTAAGTTTTCATAGATGAAATTTCAATTTAAATAATTTAAAAAAAAATTATTTTGTTGGCATATCAAAAAGATAATAAATAAAAATCATCTACATCCTATAAAGAGTTAAGTAAAAGTAAAAATATTAGCCAACATGTACAGTAATTAAAGATAGTATATTTATCAATAGAATAATATGGACAACTTGCTGGACAGTGAAATGATATAATCTAATCTTTAAGTCCAGGAAATCAATCACTCAGGGAAATTTTATTTAAAAATAAATATTTTAGCAAATTGAAAATGGAAATTGATTTCTTAAATAATATTTTAAGAATTTCATAGTTTATTTTATTGTTTGGTATCTATGAATAAGAAAAATTGCAATTAACTTAATTATAATATAAAAATATTAAGTTCAAAAAAATACAAAATTTGTTTGTTATTTTTTTTAAAATGTTTTATTTATTTATTTGTGGGATTATTGTATAATTTAGTTTTATAAAATGGTAAGTTTTTGTACATCAACTGTCAAAAGTTGCTGAATTAACGAGATGAATACCTTAATCTAACTTCATGACAAATATTTCCAAAAAATAAACAAATGACGTTTGAATACTTGGCTTATAGAAAATAAAACCAAAACTTTGTTGGTAAGTAGCATATATTTTATCAAAAACAGTAATTGACTCTAATGTAAATGTATGTTAATAAGTAGAAATTATCAATGTTTTTTATATTTTTATTTTTATAAGAAGTTTAATGCCTGTCTTATACCTTATGATCTGTTTTGACCATTTTATTTAGCTAAGCATGTAAATAATCAATAAATAAAATATTTCTACATTTTAGCCATTGTTAAATTTAAAAGTACTTGCAGTGCTTGGATTTTTTTATTTAGCTGTATTTGATCAGCACCATCTAATACATTAACTTAAACACCATTACAAAACAGTATTAATATTTATACATCAGATACCTACATTATATTTTAATGATGTTTAAGCAAAATCTTCAGCTTAACACTTTTCTTCATACAAATAATAACATTTATCATATATGTTATCCGGACTTTGTCTCCTAAAACTAAATCCGCAAGAATATTGTTCATGTGCTGGCATGGCTCTAAAAAATTGGTATAAAAATGAACAACAGAACACCCATTTGAACTGAAAACAACAAAATACTATATTAATTTAATAGACTTCAAAAATAAATTCAAAAATGTTTAACAAATAAAAAAACCTACATAATATAACATAGTATATAGTGATCTTTTTTTAAATTATTATTTTCTCCCTTGTTTACCTACATTGGGCTATACCAATAATTTTCAAATACAAAACAAAAAAATCAATTTAATTCTGAATCATTTACAGTATATTATATTAATCGAACATTTGAGTGTTGCATTTTAAGAACATTATTTGTTCAAAATACTGATCCATCATATTTGTTCTTTTTTTTGGTATTGTTGCACCACCAACACTTAACACTCTCTCTACTGATGCACTGCTAGGTAGTGGAGTATTCACAAATACCTGAAAACTAAGTACAAATGTTTTTGTAATATTACTACTAATAGTATAAGAAGTTCTCAACTAATCTTACTTTTTTGATAGTGGGTAAATTATGCAAACATTCTAAAGTCTTTGTTGGAGATGTGCCCAAAAATCTATATATTTCATCACTAACTGTTGATTTTTCCTCTCGGGAATTTAGTGAGGGTAAAAAAGGTAGATAAATTATCTTTCATTTGGTTATCTTCTACATCATTATTGTCATTATCACTGGTATATAAGTCATAACAGGCACTTTTTAAATATTCTGAGGCCAATTGTTTTTTATATCACTTTTAATCCATACTTTTTTAAATAGTGGGTGGCAGACTGCAGCAGTAATTAAAAATGTGTCCATCAAATAATCGGCAAACCTTGTTTTCATACCTAAAAAACAAAAATTATTATCATTTAAGTTTGTTTATTTTAGCCCATGAGTATATAAATATACTACACAGAAATATAAATATAAATAATAGATCAGCTGATTAAAATTTTACATTATACATCAGTAAGACTGTAAGAGTTAAGAGATACTATATATTTACTACTTAGTAATAAGTATTTACCAATAAAGTAATCCAAAAACAGCTAAAACGAAAAGAAATTAAATGTATACAATTTAAGTACTTGGATAAATAAGTTTAATGTATTTAAAAAATATTAATTATTACATACCATTAAGTATGGCAGTCACCAGAAGTTTCGTATAATTAGAAACTGTTTGATCACTTGTCATTGATTCATATTTATAAATTAATCCTTCAATTGTAGATAGGAGATGACCAAAGTACATGTTAGTATCACCCTGGAATAAATCCAAGCATATTGAAATTGGCCCCATAATTGTTTGATGTTGACACACAAAATCAATATCACTTCTATCAAATCTGAAAATATTCATACAAATTATAGATAAAATAATTAATAATTTTTTAGGATTTACAATTTACCTGCCAAAAGCAAATCTGTCCATTATTATTCTAAACTTAGGTTCATTATTTTTAATTTATTTATTAAGAAGCACCACTACATCAAACAGTGAATTCCAACGTGTCTTGTTGGGTGTAATTAAATAAACACCAAGATTTTGTAGAGTCCTAGAAAAAAACAAGTTATACAAATAAATTATTTTATTTTGTATTTAATTTGCACAAATTTGTAATTAATAATAAAAAATTAAACAAACATAATTTATTGAAATTTAAAATTGAAATTTGGGTATAGATAATATAAAATAGTTAATGCCAATCATATTCATACTTATATCTTAGAATATTTTTTTTCATATATTTTTATCATTTAAATCGAAAGAAAAATTTAATTTTTAAAATATGTATTACAACTCATACAAATTTGATTATGATTATTAAGTGTTAAACCTACTAACTAATAGTTTAGTCCTGATCACTATACTTACTCAAAATATATTCTTTTCGATAAAAATATTTTTAGTATTTTATAATTTAACTATATTAAACTATCTTAAATAAATGTTTAATTACCATTGTTGCTATTAAATTTATTTTGTGTGCACAACATTGATGGTGTTTTGGTAATGCAAATGGCAAATCATGGTCCTCATAATTTAGAATGTTCAAGTTGATTGCGTCGATTCCTTCTAAATCATCAACAACCGCATCGTTCACTAGCAATGTATCAGTATATAGTCATGTAATCATGTAAATATCAACTACTTTTATTAATGCTGCAACTAAAAACTATTTAATAAAACAAAAAATAAAAATAAACAATACACATTCTTACTTTGACTAGTTAATTTTTTGTTGTTCGAAAAATCTTCTAAAACTGGTGTTTTGTCTGGTTATTTATATCTGATTGTTTTAAAGACCTACCAGCATTATGCTTCAATGATCCATCATTGCATCTCTTTGAAGTGTTTATGTTCGCTGCATTATCAATGTGATCAATTTTCTTTAATATAGTTTGATGCTGTGTCTGAATAAAATGAAATAATATAATCTTTTACCTAACATTAGAAGTTTTGATAAATAATTTTCATTTTTTGATCAATGGCGCAATTGGGATTTATTTTTGAGGGGGGAGGGGGTTATTTATTTTATTTTATTTCATATACTTAAGAATACTAAAACTAGGCCCCTCTGAGATGACTCGTGTGGGGGCCCAGGAAAAAACATAATATAGAATAATGAGATCTATGATACATCTTAAGCACTTGAAATTTGACTTTTAAAATACTGTGCGCCACTGTTTTTTTATGTATTTTTGTAATATATTATGTATTTGTGTGGTATTTAAAATTAATTTAAGAGGATGCTACGCCCACATGTGGTGTCTGTCTTACAAGAGCGTAACATATCAAATTTTACGTTCAATAGATCACGTTGAGCTCAGCTAGCTTAAAAATTAGAGTGAATTGACCTCTCATTAAAACTAAAGGTAAGATTATTACAGAGGGCTTCTCATAGGCTTTTTATTATATTTTAATTTTAAAGAGAGTTATGAGCATTTAAAAATTGTAAATTGTTTGTATAACTTAAAATACTCATAACTATCTTTAAAATAAAAATATAATAAAAAGCCTACGAGAAGCCCTCCACAATAATCTTACCTTTAATTTTAATAAGAGGTCAATTCACTCTAATTTTTAAGCTAACTGAGCTTAACGTGATCTGCTGAACGGCCTGAATGTAAAATTTAATGTGTTACGCTCTTGTAAGACGGAGACAACATATATGGGTATAGCGTCCTCTTAACACACAAGATATTAGATGGGTCAACTGTCATAGGCAGGTATGAAATTAACATTGTACTTACACTTAAATGTTTTCTTATATTAGAGTTTGAACGTGAATCCACCTTGTAACACTTTGTATTGACACAACTTAAGCACTTCACTTCCAGCTTCTTGTAGGTAAAAAGTTATCCTCAATGACTCAAATATTTTTGATAATTTTACCAGGGTAAAATTGGTTCTTCTGTGCAACCTGATCGACTTCGCTTGAAGAATCACAATCACTCATTGTATTACAATTTTAAAAAATTTAAACAATGAAAATAAGAGTATACGGTTGATGCAATACAATTATGAACAATCTGTAGCAACGTCAAGCAGACAACAGCGAACACGATACGAATGATACGAACCCAAGTAATAAATATTATTGTAGTGTAAAACAGCGTAGAGGGCCATACATGCAATATTGTAATAGTACAACTGATTGTGCGCTAATGACCAATTGGCAATTGGTTATTTGTAATCCGTACACACAAAAATAATATTATTTTCTAATAAAATTATGAAAAAAAGATAATACCATGTTGCACATATTATTATGGTGCTTATTAATAGGCAATAGCCATTTTCATTTATTTATAGCAGAATCAGTAATCAGTCAAAATCTATGTTTAAGTTTATATAATATTTATAGATTTTAATGTCAACCAGTGCGCACCAGTATTCCAGACGGAACATACATTATGTCCACCAGACGCCAACAGTGCAGTCTCACTCAAGTCTCAGTCGGTGCAGTGTCAGTGTGGTGGAAAACGCTATAAAGGTCCCCACACACTGCCACGGCGGCGGTGGCGGTGGCGGTAAAAAGAGTCCGGACACAATTCACCGCCACCGCGGCGGCACCGCCAAGACAAAAGAATTTCACCGCCACCGCTGCAGTGTGTGGAGACCTTATTATTGTCTGAAGATGATATGATCAACGGCGAAAACTATGACATGCAGCAACAGGCTTACGAGCAAGATCAGGTAAAGCAATAAGTAATAACGCGTTCGAACACGGAACACTTTTGCATTTTTGCTGCCAGCACTTATCATTAAGACTCCTTCAAGCTGCGCTGAGGACGTAGAAACTTCAATGAACGGCCATATTCCTCCTAGCGAGCCATCGAGTTCACCGGTGATCTTGCCGCCGGCCCGGTTGTTCAATTGTGCGTGCCGCCTTGAAAATCTCGTGTGATCACGAGACTTGTGTTTTTGTCGTTGATGCAATCAGCCGGCATCATCAGAATCATAAGCAAGTAATCGACTTTTTGTTTTCCGTCTTACAGGTTGACCACAACGCAGCTTCGCGTACGTTCACCGCCCGAGTGCCTCCGCAGACCGCAATACTTCGTGTGATGTGATCACGATACGTGATAATATCGTATTTGTCATTGTTGTGATCAGCCGACATACCCAATTTGTCAAAATACCTACTCATCAATTATATTATTGTGCAGGCCATCAGGTTTTGCCGGTTTTGGTAACCTAACCTTAGGTACCCTAATCGTACCCTCATACTACATATTATGTTCAATGTTACTACGAAACGGTGTCGATAAGGAACGCAATTAGGTCATTCAGAGAAACACGGATTACGACCAATTACATTATCGCCGATTACGATAACGCTAATTGCCCATTGAATTTATACAGTCTAAAGGCCCGTTTCACATGGACGCGTATCATACGCGCGCGTTTCATACGTCGCGTTCAGAATTACGTTATTTATATTGACCGTTTCACATGCACGCGTATGAAACGCGACGCGTTTTTGGAAACGCGGGCGAAACGCATCCCCGTACGCGGCGCGTATCAAACGCGAGCGTACCGGTTATTACATGTAATGACAGGTTTCAAATAGACGCGTATCATACGCGCGCTGATCAAATATTGAAAAATGGTTTTCATATAACTTGTTTATAGTCTCCAGCAGTGCAGTTCTTCTCTTTTTCTTTTTAGACTTTTAAGACTTTTAAGACTTTTTAGACCTTTTAATACAGTAAAAATAAATTGATATTATATTCACTATGAATACAATGGACACTGAACTGATAATTATTGAGGTACAAAATCACCCTAATCTTTGGAACCACGCAGTCGAGGAATACAAAGATCGTGATTTGAAAAATAAAGCTTGGGAGGAGGTGACAAAAAAAATAGTGTCAACATATGACACTATGTCTAAAGCTGATCAAAAAAAAGCGGGTAAGTAAAACAAAAATTATTTAAGTATTTGTTCCATACTTAGTACAATATATTTAAGTATTTAAACATTTATTATACAAATTATTTAATTGAGTAAAAAACAATATGACACAATACCTATACACGCGTAATTATATCATACATTAACCCAAGTAAATTCATAAAACAAAATATCAAAGAAATGAACAGGAAGCTATTAAAAAAAAAATAGGTAAGTAATTAAATATATTTAAAAATAAACTTAAATGTAGGTATAGGTCTCATTAAAAAAAAATTATTTATTATTGTACTCGTATACTTAGAACCTCAATGTGTTTATCTTTTTAACTGTTATACTATAATTCAAATTCTTTTTAATACTTCATCAGATTTTATTAAATACATTTATCTTGCCATTCTAATTTTCCAGCATCACTTATAAAATAATTGGCAAACTTGTCTCTTATTGTATTACCACTTCTAGTCACATTATTATTTCGTATATTAACCTCGTTTACATTTTCTAAACCTTCAATGCTAAGAGTGTTTTCAAAATTAAATCCATCTCTAACGCGTATAAAATTATGCAGGATACAGCATGCTTTTACTATACATACGGCCAACTCAACATTCACATTCATTGGCTTATGAAAAATACGAAACTTATTAGATAATATTCCAAAACTACATTCAATATTTCTCCTTGCACGCGATAAACGATAGTTAAAAATTTTTTTTTTATAGTTTAAATTATTTCGAGCATACGGCCGTAAAATGTTTTTTGATAACCCAAAAGCTTCATCCGCAACTATTACGAATGGATAACTTTCATCGTAGTTTCCAGGAAAAGGCATTGGGTCAGGAATATTTAAAGTGTTATTTTCAAGCTTCTGGTAAAATGCGCAGTTTTTAAACACACTTGAATCGCAGAATTTCCCTTGCGCTCCGACATCCACAAAAGTGAAACAATAATTCGCGTCACAAATGGCCATCAAAACAATTGAAAAATAATGTTTATAGTTATAAAACAACGAGCCACTTTTTGTTGGCTTGATAACTCTTACATGCTTTCCGTCAAGGGTACCAATACAATTTGGAAAATTTGCCAATTTGTGATAACCATTTGCAATTTCTTTCCATTTATCTTCCGTAGGTTCAGCCATGCATTCAGTTTTGAGCTGCCAAATATTTTTACATACATCTTCAATGATACCACTTATTGTTGAGATACCCATACGATATGTGTAATGAAGATCAGTCATTGTATTTCCTGTTGCTAAATACCTAATCAATAAATAGGTATTACAAAAATTAAATTAAGTACCCATACGTATTTAGAGTTGGTAATTTATACAAAGTCAATGAATAAAAATATAGTTATATAATAAAAATTACTCATATCATAATTCATGATTATTATAAAAAAAAATATAATAATATTTAGCTTTTTTGCTTATAAACTGAACGAAAAATTGAGAAGTGCATGTCAAATATACTGTAGCGAAAACAATATGGTATTTTTTTCTTATAAATTATAACTAAAAATTAATAAATAATACAGGCTTTAGTCACATTATTTTTTATGATTTTATATGGTCAGTGGCATTATTATTAATATTATCTAAATAATATTTTTAGAAGTAAATTCATCATTCATTTGTACTTTAATGGGGGAATTATATAATATATGAAATACTTTTTTTCAAACAGTGGAAAAAGTTCAACAACGCTGGAAAAGTGCGAGAGACGCTAAAATCAGATCCATTGCATTAAAAAAAAAATTAAAATCTGGATCTGGAAGAAAAAATGTTAAAACCTACATGTATGACCAGCAACTACAATTTTTGGAATCTTTAACTCAACCCAATATGTAAGTGAAAATAGAATTCCGAAAACAAACTACATTGTATATATAAAATATATTGATATAGATAGAAATGCCTATATATTTTTTAAACTTCTTGGCTATAAAATGAGATACTTATGAAGCATATTGTTTTGAATTTCCAATCCTTAGTTATAAAATTTGAATATTTTATAAATTTTCAAGATTTTTGACCCAGCAAATACAATTTTATTGATATTTATAGAAAAAAAAAAACAAAAAAAAATTGAAAACTAAAAATGTCTGTTAACAGCACAAACATGTTAAAATATTTTGAAAATGTTATAAAGTATATAAAATTATAATAAAAACATCCAGCCAATATTTCATATATCTACGGTCATTTGTTTTAATTAGAGTTACACCAAAAACCAAAATCGATTTTGTCAAAAACTGATTTTGCGTACATTTTCCCAATTTTCCTTAAAAATGTAATTACTTACTTTTTAGCTTGTAAAATGTACAGTTTTTATAGCTAAAAATTTAGCCTTATGGATTTAGTTGTTAGTATATTATGCAAAATTGAATTAGTATACAAATACAATTTTCAGGACGGAATCTAACTTTAGCCCTAATCAAATTTCGGGAAATTCAGACAACGAAGAAATCAATTATGAATCGAACGGCGAAGATGACCCATTGGAAGACATTAATGTTACTTCCGATAGAGATCCTTGGGCGAGGAAGAGAAAAAGTACGTCAACACCAAAAAATCAAAAAAACAATTTTGAAGAAGATTTTCTCGCAGCGATTAGAGAGACTTCGATAGAAGATGAGGACAGATCTTTTTTTGAGTCTCTATTGCCAACTGTTCGTCAATTTAATACGGATCAAAAACTTCTTTTTCGTTCACGTATTCTAGCGTTAACAATGGAAATAAAAAATGGTCCCGGCCAGACTCCAAATTATCCTCCTATGTTTCAAAACTCTGTAAACCACAACGACCCTTTTTATTTTTCACATCAGCAGCAGTATTCACATTTTTTACCAATAAACTCGCAAATACAACAATCTTCTACGTCTATGCCCGATACCTCCTGCAACCTAACTTACCCATCAAATTCTTAATTATTTTTTTATAATTCACATAATATAATGTCTAAACAATTTAAAGATTATTTGTTTATTTTTATTGTTCATTTTGGGTTTACTTTAATTTTAATTTTATTTTCATTGGAAATGTTAGTTTTTATTTTATTTTAAATATTCTTTATCAAAAAAAGGACGTTTTGATTTAATTAATAAATACAATTTGTTTTGTTAATATAACACATAACTTTTATATTTTTATACTAAGTTACAAATATGTACATATTTCCATGTATAATAATAAATATTTTAATATTTTATTGCATTATGTAGGTACCTAAGCCGGCTAGACCTAAGACCTAACGTCATTATTTGTGTTAAGTTAGAATATGTTAATTAAAAAGAACTTGACATTATTTTATCAAAACTAAAATATAGGTAATTCAAATTTAAAACAAGCTTACCTCAATGTTACACACAATCGTTCTGCTGGAGTTATTGGTACTCTGATACAATATGAACGTTTTAAATTGTGTTCTAGTTTGTATAATAGTTCGTCAAAACTTTTGATTGACATCCGGAAATAATTGAAAAACTTATCTTCGTGCTCTCGGAGATCAGAAAACATCGTGGCAAATGCACCTTTTAAAGACCTTTGGGCTATCAAAGGGTGAACCCAAAGTCTTTTAGCACAATTTTTTTTAGCCATTTGTTTTTTTTTTAAATAATAATACCCCGTAAAAAGTATAAGCCGCTTTTCTCTTTGATTATTCATTTTTTATTTTAATTAACTTGTACTAAGTTGTATTAAGTGTTATTATAGGTGTTGTCTATACCGAAGTTAAACTTTAAATGACAAAATTTCCCCGGGGTCAGTTTGATCCGCGTTTCGCGTATGGTACGCATACATGTGAATACAACAGAGTGTCGCGTTTTGATACGCGTCGTATGCGCGTTTCATCAGCGCGCGTACGATACGCGTCCATGTGAAAAGGGCCTAAGATATCCAGATATAAATTGCAAATGATAACCATGAGTATCAAACGTTTTTATTCAGTTTCTATCTGTTCGCACCTCGCAGTCAGAGTTGTACGTCTTTTCCTTAGCAATGCCACCTACCGTGCCGCGTAAAGCTTTATATTTAATGAATGTAGAATGTATGTGTATAATACATATGTATATGTATAGTATTAATAAAGATTATACCTAATATGTACATATTATAAAATATAAAACGATACAAATGTACGTAAAAATTTTAATTTTTAAAACATTGAAACTTGTCTACAACGGACACGGACACCTGTCTATAACGGACAATTAGTTTGGTCCCGTGACCGTCCGTTATATACAGGTTTCACTGTATCAAACATTATAAAAAATAGCTATAAATTATTGTAGACGATTGAGATGGAAACATATATTTTCTGGTCCATAAATTCCATTATTTAAATTTAATAAAGGATAAATAAATTAAGCTACTTGGCAATTATATATAATTTATAAAAATGTAATGTTATACAAATAAATCATAGATATAATTATGAACTACCTATAAGCATTGATTAAATATACTACAAGGTATATTTAATCAATGCTATAAGGTATTAAAACAGAAAGAATGTTTTTAATGTAATGTTTTCGGGAGGAAACTTTGAACATAATATAATCATTAGGAAAAATCACAACTAAAGTACTACAATCGTTGTTGTTCATGAAATCATATAAGAACATGTTTGTTGATTGTTCAAAATAAAAACATAATCAATGGTCAATGCACATATATGTTGTCACATATCGGGTATCGACTTGTAGCCGTGTAGGTACATAATATTATGGAGGTAGAAATGTCGGACGACAGCGCTACAAGAGCACGGCCCGGAAGTGCACATAATAATAATAGTTATAACTTATAACTTATAATATTATGATGTACTATATGTAAATCCGGTCACTGTCCTCCGCCAACTGGATGAATCAATAGTTTTTAATTAGCTGAAATATGCAGGTCCGACAAAAATCAAGTTGGAAAGTCGTGATTTCACCGCAGGCATTGTAGTGCATCATTGTGACTTCAACTGGTGATACACCCGTCACCGCGGATTTGAACTAAAACGAACCCGCCGTTACTGCACCTGGCCAATATGTCATTATCGACGACATCTACATAATGTTAATATATTGACATGTCATGTCCCGTCTTCTGCCTTGACCAAGTGTGCGTCCAAGTGCCAGCCATGTCGCTATGTCGCGACGACCGTTTTTTTATAGCATCAAGTATTAATCTATTAATTATCCCGACGGTTTATGTCCGTTTTTGTTACATGTCCGCCTTAGCCGTAAGTGTCGTCTTAATTTCAATGTGCAATCGTATTTTGTTGTGGCACATTCCGCCTTGAGTGTTACTGTCGAATTTATACATTTTATCATCTTGTATGTGGTATGTCTCACGTTTGTTTGCGTTCCGTATCGCTGTGTTCTTGCATGCCGTTCTCATACAATGACAAGTAATCCGTCCACGCATCCCATATACCATGGTTTAGTGGTATACTACTGTCGTGTTCCGTTTTCGTCCTTTGTCGAGTCGGTCACGGTGTAACAGGATAGTCATGGTATCGGCCCACTGAGTTTCATTAAATTATATATTTCTATACTCATGTTTGTACTCATTTCTCATTGTAATAAAAAGAAAAAGTTACCACTTAACACTCATACCTGGCCCAAATTTTGAGTGGCCCACCGAGATTTCCTTGGTAGCTTGCCGATCCGACCATTGCCTGAATTGTTGAATGTCATACAATATGTTCTTCTGATGTATCCCGGGCGTTTTGTTTCATTCGAAGGTGTCAGCCTAATATCTGCCGTCGTATCGCGATACATATTGTTACATACAACATATTACATTTAATTCTTTAAATATTGGTTAGTGGTTACATAATCGATATACAAATTATAATATTACTACGAGACATTCCTTGCTTCTGCGACGGACCGCGCGTTTTTGTTACCATATTTTTGAAGGCCACACTACCACCCTCTTTGCCGACCTCGATTGGATGACCGTGTTATTATATATTTATAATATTAAAATAGTGATCCGTCCGACGTTAGATTATAATATAATATCGCACATGCTAGTGCCGTTTTTTCCAGTAAACACTATAAGCTAGTGCTTAGGGCGGCAAATAATTTTTAATATTACATTTTTACTATATGTAACTAGAACTAAAATAAAATGAAACTAATTATAAAATGTTTTTAGACCAACGGGATTGTGGTAATATTTATATTTTATGTTTTCCAATTTAATAATCATAGAGTTATATATTTTTATTATTCATCATTAAAATTTTAAGTAAAAAATAAAAAACTATAATTATTGCTTTAATAACATTTTTTAGACTAGAAAAATATTTATATCAAAAGGCTGCAAATTATTTAGTGCTTAAAGCGGCACAATGGTTAAATCCGGCACTGGCACATGCAGTAGGGAGTGCAATCGTGCATTATTTACGCTTGATCCTATGCTGTGTATTACAACGTGCCTTAGGTAAAAACGGACCAAGTCCCTCAAAGGCATAGGCGTAACTTAGACTCTAATCACGCGGGTGCAAAAATAATTTTCGACAATCTCTACACATTTTCATAATCTTCTTTAAATTTAATATTTATTATAAAACTTTTTTATCATTTTTACCACCATTCTTCATTTAATTAATTTTAAGCAAACATTTTTTGTATATACCTATACTATAAGTTTTATACCAAACTATAATAAAATTACTACTTTTTTTTAAACCATAATTAATATTTATAATTGTAAAAAAGTTCCAAAGAAACTTTATAGAAAACAACTTGTTTTAAGTTTTTATATTTTTTTTGTGTGTTTCTGTCATCACGGTTTCGGGCAGTAAAAGTCCTACTTGGGTAGGTACTACATCTATAATTAGTATTTAAATAAAATGTAAAAGTGTATGTGTTTTAAATTTATAAGCACTTATTATTTTTCGTTATTGTACAATATTATATTAAAATATATTCCTATAAATATAATATATCATATTATGTATATGTTACGGTCAAAGTGTCTAATTGTACTACAACGCCCGGACAATGTATTCAATGCCAAATTTCAATGGACAAAGTGGACAATTATACACTTTGCCCAGGCATTGCACAGAATGACCAGAGCACAGTGGGCAATTAAAATGGTATAAAACAATTTTTGTTATCTTAATAATTTACAATAATTTATTTTGTGAATATTAACTATTTTTTTAATTTTATTTTTGCAACTTAAGCTATCATGACATTTAGAAGTATATAGTCTACCTGCACCCCTACACTTACATTTATCTGTCTGGCATTGCCATTTACAGTTACACGTACACCGGTCATATCCTTGACCGCCAAGATTTGAAAATTTTCTATAGGCATTCTGAACATTAATTGTGTGTTAATGGTGTAAGTAAAACATATTTCGTTATAATATGTACATAGTGTTTACAAATTATATTAGAAATAGTGGATGGCATCGACTCCATTCGAAAAGAAGCCGGGCCCCTTCTTCCTATCTGCTATGATACGGATGGGTACTGGGCAGGTTAGCAGTATCCATCCGGTCCAAATATCTATGATTAGCAGCCAAGTCAGCAAAAATATCTTCAGTATCAATATTATACACTGGTGAATCTATAAAAATAAATATATTAAATTAATATAATATACATATACATGAGAACATTTTTAATATATTTACCTGTATCAGTATCAGCGTTGCAAAGTAAATGAGTATAAGTATTTAAATACTTTTTTCCGTATTGAATACTTTTTAAAATACTTTCATTTTTGAAGTGTTCGAACGGTATTTTAAATACATTTTTTTACTATTGAATATTATTTTATTGAATGCTTTTTTTTATTCTTTTAATTATTTATCTTTATTCCTTGTAAAATAATAATAATGTCATTATAATAATACACATATTTATCATTTATGAACAATTCGATATCGATTTAAGTTTTCGTCTTTAGTTTAAATTAAATAAATTATTTAAATATCTTTAGCTAAATATTTTTTACTCCGGGAAACCGTCTATTTATCGTCGACGAAGATCGCAACGGTACGTTATCGGTACCTACCAACATATATTATAGCGAAATATTATATGAACAATGTCGTAGTGTCGTACCCGTACTGCCTTACGTGTATACTGTGTACGGAGCATTGATTATAAAGGTTATATATAGGTATATATAGTATTTATAATCAATGGTAGTATGTATGTATTTTTGTTTGTTATGAAATTGTTGGATTACATTAATTATATCATAATTAATAATACACTTTTTTTTAATTTTTCAAAAGTCATTTTTAGGACTTGGAAATAAAAATTTCAAAAATCGGAGTTCCTTACGGAACCAGATATAACTCTCCTCTACAATTTTGTTCATAGGTGTTTTTACGATAAAACCACTCAGTAACCCATATTGAAACGCGCAAACTGCTAACATGTTTTTAAAAGAATTTTTCGAGTGATTTTTTTCCGTGACACAAACAGTATAACACCCACATTGGTGGTTTATCAGCTGCAGTCGTCCCGGTTTCGATGAAATTACGTAATAATATACTATTTTTAACTTATTACGAATTGGTTTTTACAAACAATATCACCAAAATCGATAGTCCATAATCGACGAATTTTAGTATTTTTGTTTTTCACCGCATATCGCAATCGCATTATCACATTGATTATTTCATATTTGTCATTTTGTCATTTGACTGGTTAACGGCTAACAAGTTAAATTATTATTAATTGACAATCATGTCTAAGAAATTATTTGTTGTGAATTAACACAGAATTGTCACTGACGACACTTTAAGTAGTCTAGGAAGTATAGCTACAGTTGAATCCACAAAATGTGTCGATTTGGTGCCTGAAACTTATGATCTAGGAACTTTACTGACTGGCCCAGCTCGTCCAGTACTTGAGGCAAGTATAAAACCAAATTTTTTTAAATGTTTTAGTTTATTGTATATTTATAACTTTAATTGATGTATTTTGTTCTTACTATAGTCGTATCCAAAAACTGGTTTTGGGAAACAAAACCATGGTTTTAATTCCGTTTATTACTCTAGGTCTAGATTTAATTGGCTAGAATATAGTATTTAACATGATGCTATTTACTGTTTTTGCTGTCGCAATTTAAGCGTATCAAGTGATAATAATGATTCTACATTTACGAGTATTGGATTCAACAACTGGGAAAAAGTAAGTATTTTTTTCAATTATGTATTACCTAATTATTTTTATCATATTTAAAAATGTTTATTATATTTAGTTATCCGGGTCAAGAGGAAAAAAAGGAAATAAACAGAGTAAACTGCATGGACATTCGACTAGTAAACAGCATTTAACTTGCATGGCCAAATGGGAAGCTTTTATACTTCAATCATAATAACAGGAAGTGTCCACTCTCAAGTAGCATTGAGCCACAAGCTTCTTGTAGAAAAAAATGTCCAATATATTAAAACTCTTGTTGATATAACATTTTTGAGCTGCCAGGGATTATCCTTTAGAAGACATGAAGAATCAAGGCTTTCACTAAATCAAGGTAACTAACTAAAATAATTGAACATATATTTTCAATTTAAATTTTTTCACTGCTAAAAGATTATCTAATAGGTACATAATATTATAACATTTAAAATACCATATACATTTTTCACCGCCTATAGACATAATATATTCTTGTTACAGGAAATTTTAAAGAAATTTGCAGTTTGATTTCAAAACACTCCAGAATTTACAGAAAAGTTTCAAAATACTACCAATTACACTAGTCATGCTATGCAAGATGAGTTGGCTAATTTATGTACTGAGAACATAGGACATAAAATTACAAAAGAAATTGAAGACATTAAAGTTTTTGGTATAATTTGTGATGAAGCTAGGTAAGAATCTAACGTTTAAATTAAAAGTATACAAAATTCAATTAAGTAAAGGTTTAACAATTATTTTGATTATAACCTATGAGAGAAGTTCTTTCACCACCTACTAACTGATTTTTTTAATTTTTATTTTAGGTGTTTTAAGCAAGAACAATTGTCTTTATATGTAAGGTATACTGTTGGCCTTAATATCGTAGAACGATTTCTAGAATTTATTGACGTTTCTGATAAACAAGATGCTGAATCCCTAAATGCCCATATATTTGCTTATCTTACTAAAAATAACATGGACATGTTTCATGTTGTGGCACAATCCTACGATGGAGCAAATGTAATGTCTGTAAAGTTCAATGGTGTTCAGGCTAAAATTAAAAATAAATTTCCATATGCCATTTATACCCATTATATGGTCCATCGTATAAATCTTGTAGTAATTGATATGTGCAAATATGTTAAGGTAAATTATAATTTGTTGTAAGTGTATGTTTAGTTGTTTTAGCTATATATTTTTTTTTTGGTATAGGAGACGGACTGTTTTTAATACTATTGAAGGGTTGTATATCCATTTTTCTCATCCAACTATTATATACATTTATAATATACATTATCATGCAAAAACAGTTGGGAATAAAAAGTATTCATATTGGTTGCTTAAGTGATGCTAGAGTGAACTGTCGGTTTAAGAACACAATTATAAAGCTATTATTAACGTTTTACAGGAAGAAACAGATAATCATACTGATAGAAATGCAAATGAAGCTTTAGGTAAATTATATAAAACATTTAAAATAATTGGATTATAATATTTTAATGTTTTTTTTCAAGGTATACTTACAAATATGTCAACAAGCTCATTTGTTGTTAATTTGTTTATTTAAAAAAATATATTGTCTAGAATAAATATTCTTTGCAACATGTTTTAAGAAAATAATGCAACACTAGGCAAAGCAGCAATTCTTATAAAGAGTATTTTACAAACTTTTGAAAATGGTAGATCTACTCTTGCTTTTAATAATTTATGGTTAGAAATCCAAGACTTTGCTAAAGACTACAATATTAATTTTGATATACCATTTCAAACACAAAGTAAATATTATTTAATAATTGTATAGTTAGGTGTAGACTGTAGAAAGTAAAAATTATAAGTATTTTTGTATTTTAGGATTAAAACGAATAAGAAGAGAACCCAATAGACTTAATGATTTTGTTTTGATTACTACTTCTGGTGCTGAAGAACCCAATGAAGTTGATAATGCTACTGCTGAAGATTATTTTCGCGTAAATGCATACTTTAAAGTTTGGAAATGGCTAAATCTATTGATAACTTTTTTAAACTGAACATTGGAAAAAGCAAATTCTTTATTGACCATTATAAGGTATACCTATACTGTAATTAATATAATTGTAGATTGATACATTATTCTAACTTTGTCTAATTGACTAACATAGTAACATCTCCTAAAATACCGTGATTTTCATACGTGAATTGGCTAATTTGATTAACCCACTTACTAATTCTACATTACACAAAATTTTAATAGTTGACTAAATTTAAATATTAATAATAAGTAGTAACACATTATGACTTATGTATACCTTTTTATTTTCTAGGATTTCTTAGATATCAATTGTTATAATTTAAAATCTGAAATTACTGTTGTAAAAAACTACTTAACATTAACAACTGGAAAAGATGATATCTCCTTAGAGGATTTGAAAACATGTATTGTTGTGAATGTCTACCCAAATATGTATAAGCTTCTAAAGGTGGCCTTAACTTAACCAATAAGTTCAGCCACTTGTGAACGCTCTTTTTCTGCAATGCGCCGAATAAAAACTAGGATGTGATTTTCAATGATTGAAAATAGATTCAATGACCTTTCTATTATAAATATTGAAAAAGATTAATAATATTGTTATAGTTGATGCTTTTTCAAATAAAAATCGATATATTGTGCTGAAATAAATATATTAGATACACTTATTATGTTATATACTTGACTTCTTTTTTTAACATCCTATATTAAATTGGTTATAATTCAATTAATTTAATGCAATTTCTGTTTAGAGTAAAATGTTCTTAAAGTAAAATGATTTTAAATTTTAAAGAATTACTCAATAATGTACTTCTCATTGGTATATTTCATGGATTTAAAAATCCACATTCGATCAAAGAATTTTTAAACCCATTTATTACTGATACCTTAGAAGTATTAAGAAGTGGTTTGAATGTAAATGGAACATGAATAAGTGTTCAAATTTCTAATGTAGTTTGTGATGCCCCTGCAAAGAGCTTTTTAAATATTTTAATGCTTATTTTGGGTGTACTTCTTGCATTGAAGAAGGAGATTATATGCAACGCCCAGTAGCTTAAATTGGAACAAATGCTCCATTAAGAACAAATGAAACTTTTAGAAATCAATCAAATGAAGAATATCACAAAGGTGATTCCCACTTACTCAAGTCACATATTAATATAATTAATGTACTTATAATGTTCATAGTGTAATTTATTACCCATCTTTACATTGTTGCATGAGCCACTTGATAACTTTACTTCATTTAGGTATGAAAACTATTTACAATATATAAAAAAATCTGTTAAATGCATAAAATACCCTCTGCAAGAAAATCATAATCAAATAGAGAAAAACAGCAGCTAATCAATACAAATTTGCATTTAATTTCAGTTTCTCCCATATTTACAAACAATTTGACCATCAAAGCCTCCCATTTTTAGGCATCTCAAGTAAACTCTATCAAAAGTGTATTTTTGAATGTATAAAGATTACGGAAGATGTTGTGTAAGAAAAATACCATTATTTTTTATGCCAAGATAATTCATTAATTACTGTACAATATATTATAAAACCTAAGGACAAACCACAAACCAATACATTTTATTTTAAACGTTTTTCAGAATGTTTGTAGTTAATACTAATGATTTATGTGATTTGTATTCAATTCATGAGAATGGTTTTAAGTTAAAATGTTTTTTAATTAAATTATCAAATAGTTACGCAATTATATCATCAAAATGTTATGAAATATTGTAAGCACTGTGAAACTTCAACGACTTACTATAATATGCTATACCTAAAAATGTTTTGTTAAAATGTTATCAACTATAGTCCATAATTATCCATGTTGTGCTGTATATGTGTTGATTTAATAACATAATAAATGCTTATTTTAAGTAATTTGTTTTCTGTTTTTTTGTTAATCTGCATTATTATTATATTTTAATAGGACTTATGAATCATATTAGTAGGTAAGTATTTGAGACACATTAAATGTATACCTATTAAAAAAATTATATCGTACTGAAGAATTGCATTAATGTCTACATGTATGTACATAATTAATACGTTTTATTTATTATCTATATCTGTTATAACTACCTATAGGCAATATAGCCTATATTATTATATTAAAAAAAAACATTTTTTTTATATAAATTGTAAGTTACATTGATGTTTTATGCAAATAATAACAAACATTATTTTTCTATTTTCACTGTAAAATTTTTGTAAATACAAAATAAAATGTAGGGTTGAAGTTTTTTTTTGTTAAATTTTAATGTTATTCTAAGGTTTTTCAACAACATGAATTAAACATTGTATTGATGTAAATAATTAAGTCATTAGAATATTGCGATAATGTTACATCAAGTTAGTTTTGGAGGATATTTATGGTTAATCTTATGTGTGAAAGTTATGGCTTTTTTAGTTATTGTATTTTGCTAATACTATTGACTGTAATCGAGTATTAGCCGGTTTCCCAGTACTTGCCAAGTACAACAACAATTAAAATATGGACAAGTAATTTGTGTAAAAATTGTTCCAACTACTGGTTTATTTGTTAAGTATCTATATACCTTAATAATTAGTATGTATGGTTAGGTTAGGTTATTATTATTATTGAATAAATTATAAAAAAAAAACCGTTAAGACGAAAGAATATAAAACCACCAATCGTCAGCAGGTAGTAGGTACCAAATATTGGCACATTCCACCTGCAGTTGTGAGAAAATGGTGACTGATAGCAACTAGCAAAAGCTTTGAGTCGTATGAAATTCACTCAAATCCGTGATAACTAAATATTGATAAGTCGTAAAACTTGATCGGTATACGTTGATTATTATTTTATTTGTATATGTACGGTACTACGATGTATTCAGCTACGCGTTAAATATGAATTAACGTCAACGCCGTGACATCACTGACATCATAAAAGTTTAAAAAGAACAATAATCATGATATCAAGAATGATAAAAATTGATACGGTTCTGTCCATATTTATTTCCTTATGAAACCGGCCCACTGGAATTCCCTGATTTAAGCCCTATAATGCAGAGCATAACGGCACACCAACATATTATTATGTATTTATGTGTAATAAGTAATTATTTTATACAATATACATACAAATATGTAAAATATATATCTGTTACACAATGTTACTTAATGACTAAACAAGAAAAAGAGGGAAAATAATTTGTTATCACCGAAATGTCTAAGCATCGTAATACGCGTGATGCGGGCATTCCGGAGCTATCATACCTATACGAGCACGACGCACACGCATTAGATCGGCACTAAGTATTCAGTAGTGTCCTGAGTAAATAAATTAAGATTAATTAATAGAGAGAATATAATACGAAGGTCGAAGGGTTACCGCGGTAAAAATGCAGTCCAGTTGTGGAAAACTCCAAACTGTAATCCAACATTGATACGTTTTTATAAAATTTTAATTTTATTCAGTTCGATATTATTTTTTGATAATTATTTTTTTTAAATTTAAAATCAGATTTGTCATCAAACAGTCAATGTGTGAAGCTGCACACAGTCTTTGAGCGCAGTAAACACAAACGACAAATTGTTCGATCACGATTAATATAACAAACAAAAACACGCTTATACTATTTTCATCGTTGATGCTTTATTAAAGCATTATATTTTAGGCTATGCTCGAATGAAAACGACGAGGGTGATGCGTCGATGTCACTGTTATGTGCGTATATATATATATATATTGTACAACAATAAAATTAAGCTATCGATGTGTAGACGATATGTGATCGGAGATAAACAACATAAAATGTATGTATATAACATCATAATGTGTTCCGCCGTCGAGCGTGAATAAAGCAGTCGTACTTTGTCAAAGCGTGGGATATGTGCCCTCGGTACCTGCAGCCGTAATACGCGACAGTCACATTAAGCGGCCGCTTAAGTGGTCCGGATAAGTCGCGCAGATCTGAGCAATGAGGTGGTGGCCGCGAACAGCGACGCTTGTTCTATCGGAAGCACGCGTACGGGGTACCGATTCTCACACATTTATTTCAATGATATCGTACCACACATAAACACCATGAGCAACGGCGCTATATCGTTTGAAATAATTTTTACGTTTGCTACAACCCGCCGGGGCCACGTATTGCGGCCACCAGTCATGGTATGGCGATATTTAATTTCAGACGAAACACAGTCACTCAAATATTTAAAATTTGAAAACAAACTATGAAGACAAACCGATAACGGTAATACAGTATATTAGGATGACATTCAATCACTCAATAATATGAAAACGTTCTTGTTTTACTCCACTAAAGTAGGCAAACTCATTATTACTCATACATACAGATCAGCCACAAGCGTACAACCGCGAACACCAAATCAAGGTAGGGCCGTTGTCGTATACAAAGTGATAGTCACCCGAACGACAACGCCAGTTCCATGGGGAGACCGTTCCTACATATATTCTCTTAAGTTAATTTTCATGAATTTGCACAAACATTCATACAAGAGCAACGACAAACAGCCAGATAACCCACTGCATGAGAAGATAAATACAATTTAGAAGGAAAAAAAACAATGCTTCGAAATAATTCAAAACATTTAAAAGAATAATTTTACGATTTTCATGTATCACACAATAGTTTGACGTTCGCACGAAAATATTATAACGGTTTGGATGGTCAAAATTCAATCTTTCTGCTTTTAAATCGATGAAACAGAAACGTCACTTTAGAAACTATTTTCTATAGTTTTACTAGTTCAAATTTACTAAATAGTGATTTTTTTT